AGGAAAAAAGCAGGAACGAGAATTTTGGGGCTGAAAAATATTGGAGCATGTTTAGGGTAGACCCCAGCATTGTTTGATAGAGGTCACCAAAGCAAGGGTCTATATCATTAATAAATATGGATCCCTGCCTTCTGGTTCATAATCTGAAAAGACATGTCATGGCAGAAAAGGAAAAAAGGACGAGGAGGGAAGAGGAAAGACTTGGGTGACATGACCACGTTTCGCAGTTTCCTGAAAGCTGTCCTTCTCCCCTCCCTGTTTTCTCCTCCTGCAAGATGCCGACAGCTCGGAAGAAGATTCTGACGAGTGCCGGTGTCTGAACGGGCATTGCGTGCGCGCCCAGCAGGGCTTTGTGTGCGAGTGCCCTCTGGGCTTTCAGCTGGATGCCACCCACACCCGATGCTTGGGTAAGAGGGAGCTGGCAAGGGGGTGGGGACGACTTTTCCCATCACACCCTGAAAATAATATCCGTGATAGTGCCGGAAGATGAGAGTCCGTAGCTGCCCCTCTGGAATTGGGGGATTACGGACGGGGCTTTCATTGAGCGACGCTGTGTTTCCTTCTTTCCCAGACATTGACGAGTGTCGCGAGCTGAACCAGCGAGGGCGTCTGTGCAAGAGCGAGCAGTGCGTGAACACCAGCGGCTCCTATCGTTGCACCTGCAAGCCGGGTTACGTCCGCACCCGGCCCCACGGCATCTGCGTGCCGCAGCGCCAGCGGTAGCCGTGTCTCCCCCCTACGACGAGCAGGGAGCCGAGAGGGCAGGCGGGCAGGTCGGAACAGAGAGAAGAAGCCCCAGAAAAAAATGGCCTTTTCAACAAATTCTTTACTGGCTACTCTGGCTGAGAGATTTGGGAGGAAATCTTCCAAAATCAAGAGCTTTGTCAAGTTCTGAATGAAGGCTTCCGGGTGGGGGGGCCGAGGGTCAAGGCACTTCATCTCTGCTTCAGCCCCAATGAGCCTCGTATTCAGTGGGGCTGAATATGGGGCTAGGGGGGACCCCAAATATGGGGTCTTGTAAGACAGTTCATATCCACCTAAGGACTTCTATTTTACTTTTTCATTTTATTTACTTTTTTTTTTTGTACCGGCTACGATGAAGGGGCATTGACGTTTTTTGTTATAAACTCCTTACCTGTCTCTGTTTTCTGCTACCCTAACTTTTTTTTCCCTTTCTTTTTTTTTTTTAAAGGAAAAAAAAATTAAACGTTTTGTTTGCACTTGTTTCTGTACGATTCAGAAATAAAACTCCTTCTCTCCCCCGTTTGTTTTTTGTACGTAATAAATAGACAAGGGGCGGGGAAAAACGATGACTCCAGAGTGAATCCGCTGATTTTTGAAAAGAGAGGGATAGAAATAGATGGATTGTAGAAAATAGTTGCGTTGTCTGATTTTGTTAGGAAAGAGGGAAGGGGGGAGGCTTGGCTTCCGACTGTGATCGTCCCAGGATCCCCCCCTGGAAGAGGAGAAGGGGAAACTTATTTCCGAATATTCTCTACCTGGAAAAGGCTCGCCAGGAATCAGAATTGACTTGACAGCGCAGGATGATTATTATATGAGCTGATTATGACCTAAGAGGACGCACAGTATATACTTTCTCGAAACCCTTTGAAATGTGTTAGTTGGATGGGAAGGGGGGCTGTCCAGCTTCCAGAGACCCCCAGAAAGTCCGATAAATGGGTTCCAGAGCAAACCACATTCTCTCTAGAAGCAAAACCGATTAAACGGTGGTGATCACATTTTGGGCATACAGTGGTGCCTCGCTAGACGATGATAATCAGTTCCACTGAAATCGCTGTCTAGCGAAATCATTGTTTAACGAAAATCAAATCGTCGTCTAGCGAAAATCAGTTTCCGAAGCAGGGACCAAACATTGTCCAGCGAAATTCCCCCATAGGAATCACTGTTTTGCGAATCGCTATAGCGATCGCAAAAAGTCAATGTCTAGCGAAAAAATTGTCATGTGGGGTAACTGTCTAGCGAGGCACCGCTGTATCTTGACGAGACAAGAATAACTCTTGTCAGGCTCAAAAGCTTGCCAGAATGGGTACATTTGCAACTGAGCCGTTTTCACATCAGTGTATTAAATTCTCCAAAACATATTCATTGTACGCTTCAGTGTTTACTTTGGTGTGTTTTTTCACCCCGTTTCTCACTTGCTTATCTGCATTGTGATGTACGTTGGCTTTGGTCAGTCATGTTTACAGGAATTTTTATACTGTTGCTGAGTTTTGAATTTCTGGAAAACTTTACTTGTTTGCTATGCAGTAGAGGGGCGGAGATCCGCGGAGGAGAATAGCTTCAAGTTCCCCAGATGGTCCACCTCTTTCTCATTATTGTCGTTCAGTCGTGTCCGACTCTTCGTGACTCCATGGACCAGAGCACGCCAGGCCCTCCTGTCTTACTTTCTCATTAACGGGCACTTAAAAGTCAGGATAACTCCCTCCTGAGACATTGGTGAAAACATGTCTTAGCTTGAAATTGCGGGATAACTCCCTCCCGAGACATTGGTGGGAGAAAGTGAAAACATGTCTTAGCTTGAAATTGCGGACTTGTGCAGGCTGCGTTCCTCGCTGCACACATGCATGCAACCAACTGAACTGATCAACAGCGAAGAACTGCCTCAAACCGATGAAAGAGACACTGAGCAGATTGGAGGGGCTGTCTTTGAAATCAAAGACTGGAAGGATGTAATTCGTTAAGTCTCTTTGACTGCAGCAAGTACATAAAAAGAGTCCTTTGAGGGCAGACCATTCCAGGTCGGCCGACCGTTTTCTGTTACAAACCTATCAGACCGCAGTTGGAAAAACTTAAGAGGATGGAGCTAGTAATAACATTAACAATTGCTGTGACACCCGTCTTGCTCCCTTTAGATCCCCTTTTCAAGTATTTATTTTTTGCAAGATTTATATGCTGCTTCCCGATTTCCAAATACCCCAAAGTAGAATGCGAGAGTAGCAAACCAGTGAAACCCAGTAAAACCAGTTCACAAGGGACTACAGTAATGGTAAGATTGTTTTTTTAACTTTACATTCAGCAAAAGTAACAGTAAAAGACCGAAGGAAATCCTGAAAACAATAACTGAGTTTTTAAGGTGGGGAGACAATTAGAATTCTGAATTAGCCAATTAAAAAAAAAGGGGGGGCAAGCTTTTAGTTTAGCTGTCAATGTTTGCTTGCTTGCTTGCTTCCCCCCCTCCAAGCCACCAACAAAAGGGATCAGAAATCAGAATGAAAGACTAGGTCTCAGGGTGCAGAAAAATGTAAATAATCTTTAAAACCCAATTAAAAACATGGCTGTTTATTCAGGCCTTCCCTCCAGCCAACTCTTGATTTTTTTTCTTACTTTTCCTTTTTATTTTTACTGCTGTTCTTGTTTGATTATTATGTATTTGTCTATG